ATATGGTCAAAGGCATAAGCTAGTCTCCAAGGGGGAGGAGCCTCCTCAGCAGCTGAAGTTATAACATTCCTACTGTTCCCTTCCACAACCAGAGTCCCATTGCTAGTGTGGGGAAAGTGTACTTTAGGCTTTCTAGGATAGCAGTACATTCAATAATGTTGGAGTCTGTGAAGCCTATGAATTATGAGAAACATAGGATTTCCCTTTCATGATTGACCAGATGGGTTACCTTAAGAGCTTCCATCCACAGGTGCCTTGGGTTGGAGGATTCAGAGAGGCCTAGGGGATAGACGTCTTGGGGCAAGACAAATTCTGTTGTGCCAATTCCGCATAAAGTCTTTGGAACTGAGGTTGTGTAGGGGAGGAAGGGTCTTAACCCAAGAGGTAGTGTTTGCGATGACTTGCTTGAAGATGGTTTGAGGCTGAATGGTAGTTTTATTATTATTGGTAAAAAAGAGTTTTTGCAATGTTTTGAAAGTTCGGAGACTTCACATTAAAAACTAATGATTGGAAAGACAAATGACCAAGACGAAGATGCCATTGCCGAATTTGATCTTTCTTAACACTGATGTAGGATTGAAGAGCTTGTGGAGCGTTTTTTGGTAAGTCTAGAATGTAAACCACCAGCCTCATGGCTACTGCCAATCGTCTTCCTTGTTCCCGCTACAATTTGGACTCTTGATAATGCTATTGACAGACATTAAGTTTGTAATTGTTGACAAAGATATTTTGGGAGAATATTTACATTTCCTTTTCCAGTAATGGAAGAAACATATCCATCGACCATCTTAACTTTGTCTCTACTAGAACAAAGGGAATAAGAATAAAACAAGAGAGACGTACTTCCATTTAACATGTTTCGCTCATATGGGATCGGGACTTTGGCATCGTTGGAACACAATTAATTCTGGAGCTTCATATCAAATGGAACCATTTGGGCCCCCGGTGGGATGCTCGTGCGAGGCACAATTGAACACATAGGTTTGCAGCCGTGGTGTGAAGGCACATTGCACAACACATCATGTTGGCGCGTGGAGCACGACACACCCCTCATGGTGGTGCTCACCAAGAACCAGCACTGCACTGGGCAGTGGGATGTGTGTGCTGGGCAAACTTTCATGCACGAGTTGTAGTAGTAGTGGTGCAAAGACACACCGCACAATGCACCTTAACGAAGGCCTAGCATCGCACGGGTCGACGTGTGGAGCATGGCACACCCCTCACGATGCGTCGTGGTGCTCGTCGAGGCCCAGCCCTGCATAGGCCAGGGGGATGCACATGCAAGGCACACTTGAACAATGCATGCAATGTGGGTGGAGGCCTAGCACCTCATGGGCTAGTCAGCCCATGGCACACAAGACAGGCAGTGCATGCGGGAGCAAGGCACACTCCCCTCACCGTGCACAACGGTGAGTGTCGAGGCCCACAAAGACAAGGTTGGATGAGACACATGGTGGGGCCTCATGCAATGTGGTGCGGCAGGAGGCCTCGCAGTGCACATGGTCGGTGTGTGCGGGTGCATAATGCGCAACACACATGAGTTGGAGAGGGGGCCATCATCTAGAGCGAAACTCACCATGGGAGGGCGCCAAGGAATAGGCTCAACCCACATAGGGAGCCGCCACTACACTAAGAGGGGCGATGGGGTCCGGCGGTGCATACCCTCCCCAGTTATGTTTGTAAGCATAAAAAACTGGAAATCCATGAGAGGCACCTAAATGAGGCAACTAGTATATGCCCATGGAATGCACACGTACCATGTGAATTAGCCTATAATTGGGCCACAACCTTGCCCTATGCTTACCCATGTCCCTCGGTGAGGCTCGCACGAGCCAAGACACATCACATGGTGCACCTTGGTGTGGGCAAGGCGCATCACCGCAAACATCAGTGCCACTGCGGTGCACCATGGATGGGTGTGCTATGCTCCATGCACCGGCCCGTGTGGTGCGAGGCCTCTGACACAGTGTGTTGTACAATGTGTCTCTGCACCATGGTTGCACCAAACTATGCTTTGCTCTGGCCACCACTCCCACTGCAGTGACACCGACGTGCCAATGATTTGTGAATCATGCTAATGGTAAAACTTTGTGCCAATGATTAACTTTCTCCTCCACTCAGAACAATGCTATATGATCTGAAGCTCCAAAATTAATGATCCAAGATAGTCCATACAGATAAAAAAGAGACATGATTAGCATAAACATGAATACCTGAGGGAGCAAAAGATGAAGTAGAAGTAATGGATGGGCCATTTAACTGAGCGAACAAATGACGCAAGCTCTCATTTTCCTTTTTAGGAACTGATATCATCTCCTTTGGGGCCGAAGGTAAGGGCTGAGTTGTACTCTGTATTAATAATTGTTGAACTCCCAGTGGATAAAGAATTATGTGCATTTAATTCCTCCGGACAATTTGATTTTTCTGGCCGACCAACTAAATCCCAACAATCGTCTTTGATATGACCATCTACCACAATGATACTTTTAAGCATACTTTATCACCTAGATTGGGACCCCCTTTTCTAAACTTCCCAGATCGAACTCCTTATTCATCTTAGAACTATCCATTACTTGTGTAGCCAGCATGACACTCTTTCTACTTTCTTCACTTTGGATAAAGGAGTACACCTTGTTGAGTGATGAAAGACAATACCGGCTAAGTATTCGAATCTTAGCTAACTCAAGATCGGGTTACAATCCAGCTTAGAACTCGAAGTTATGATTTTGTTCCACAAACTTCTTGTTTTGTTTGCATCTTCCTTAGACAGTGGTTACTTCCCCCATAAACTGCAAAGTAAGGAGAAATATGCTGTAAGAGACTGTTCCTGTATCGAAGATGGGATATTTCTTTCCTCAATTGGTCCACTCAGGACACATTCTTGCTTAGAGAGTGTGTTAAGTCTGCCAAAGCCGAAATCATTTTTGCAGTGTCTCCCACTTCTCGTGAAGAATCTGTTTCTTCTGGTTCAATAATTTTGCTATTGATATATCCAAACTTTCCCCTTCCACCAATGGACATCAGACTGTTCTAAATAATTTATCCTATCTAGTTTGGCAGTTGTAATTTGCAGTCTGGGGGCATCTCCATGAATACCATAGGAGATGTTGCACCTTGGGTAGTAGAGGTGGTAGAAGAGTGCTCAGGATCACTAACATTAGAGATATGGATCACTACACAGCTTGCCCACACCAGGAAAAACTTGCTGATTAACGCAACCATCCACTTGAATCACTAGCCCAAGCAGACACTTGATCATGCTGATTAACATAGCTAGCCACTTGAATTAACTCCCCATAGAGATCCAAGACCATCTATACAACCGATATCGGTGAAGTATGAGTCTCACAACTCTAAAACTGGGATATGACATACTAAAGGGGCACAACAAGGAATTCTGAAGCACTAAATCATCCCAACAAGATCTAGGGTTTCAAATCCAACATCACAAAATAGTCAAAGATAGAAAACGGCCATGAAATTATGGTTGTGTACCATACCTCTTTTTCATATTTAGGGTTTCTGACTATGCAGTTGATGAGGACTCTTGCACAGTCAAATCACATCATTAGGGTTTTGAAAAATCCCGAAGTCTCTTGCTCCGGTACCAAGTTAAAATGCAATAATCAAGTAGATAAGAGATGAAGAAGAGTGAGACAGATGAAGATCTAGGAAGAGAGAGAGAGAGAGAGAGAGAGAGAGAGAGAGAGAGAG